TGTTGGTTTTGTATCTCTCTACCAAAATTTTTACTATTTCCTGATTTTGAGAGCAAAGATAACATCATCCCCTATCTCTTTGGAGTTTTGTATCCCCCTAGTTTTGCTAGCACTCCTTTATCTGTAAAATAGCAACGGTAACATTGCTATAGACATGGGATGTACTGGGGTGCAACATAGCATGGCATCTGGTATAAACAGATACTCAAGAAGTGTTTCGTGGATGAATGAACCAAACAGAAGGTCAACCCATGCAAAAGAAAAGAACACAAACAAAAGCCCTTTGTGTACTAGAAAACACTTTATGATAAAACGGTGGGTCGTGATCACTGTCAAATACCAGAATGTTCTGGACAAAGCCTGCCTTCCCCTCTGACCTTCCTGATCCTGATTTTATGAGGAAATCCTCCACATTGTATTAATGCTATCTAATTTATATTCCAGTTTGCACATGGCTCCTCTTTAGCACTCTCCCTACATCAACACTGAGGCCCCAATCCTTGTGTTCAATTTTTGGTTCCCCACATAAGCACTCCCATGTAATGGGTCGTCTTCCCACCAGCCTGGTTCCAGAGCAGCGTCAGTCCCAAATGAACACACAGGAGGCTATATTAATTATGAAGCTGTTGGCCATCTGCTATTGTTTCTCCTTGGCTAGCTCTGACTTAATTATTGACCCATAATTACTAATATATATTTTTATAAGGTCTTATCTTACCAAGAATGCAGACTTGTGTCCCCTCTTTCCAGGAATCATGTGGTGACGACCTCCTTCACTACAATTCCCAGAATCCTCCTAGACTCCTAGTCCCACCTATTTTGTTTCCCTATTGGCCAGCAGTGCTTTATTTACATATACACAGGACTTCCCCATCACTCCCAGACCCTGATTCTCTGCATGGGTTCAGCCTAGACAAGCTCACACATTTCCCAGACAGCCACTCCTTTGCACAGTGCCTCTATGGCTGGCTAGAGGAAAAGCTGCCGTGGGATTTGGGAAGTAGTACAATCATCCTTGTTGAAGGTTATTGCCAAGCCCCAAGTGACACCACAGCTCATGCACATGCACGATCACTGACCTATTTGCTCCTAGGAGGTACCCCTCTGCCATTCTCTTAGTCTGGTTTCTACTGGTGTGATAAAACACCTTTACCAAAAGCAACTTGAGGACGAAAGGGTTTGGCTTATATCCCCAGGGCCATAGTCCATTGAGGGGCCAAAGCAGGAATTGGACAGATGCCATGAGGGAAATGCTACATTCAGGCTTGCTCCCCACGACCTGCTCCATCTGTTTTCTAACATAACCCAGGACTACCAACCCAGCAGTTGTACTGCCCAGAGTGGGCTGTGCCTTCCTATATCAATCATTAAATTAAAATAAGAATGACCCTTAGATTTATCTACAGGCCAATCCTTTTTCTCAGATAGTTCTAGGTTAATGTCGAGTTGACAAAAAACAGCCAGGACAACTGTCACCATGACCAAGGCAACTCTTAAAAAGGAAATCATGTAACTAGGGGCTTGCTTATAGTTTCAGGGGCTTAGTCCATTATCATCATGGCAGGGAGCACGGTGGTAGGCAGGTGTAGTGTTGGAGAAGGAGCTAATTTAAGAGCTACATTGTCGCACCTGCTGTGCGGCCTGCATCCGAGAATGTAGCGAGGTGGTCGGGATAGATGACACAGAGACCGGTCGGTTGCTTTAAGAAAACTTTATCTTCCCAAGTCAGCTTAGGAGAGAGCTCTCAGAAGAAATCTCAGGAGAAGTCTCTCTAAGAAAAAGGAGCTTCCCCTTTTTAAGGACTTTTGCCATCCATTTACATACCATTCTTTCCACTTCTCACCCTCCTGGCTGGTGATTTAATCTCCGGCCCCAGAATCGGGGAGACACCACAGGGGGCAGGAAGAGGCATCTAGCCATAGGAGGTGTGGAAGGCATGGTATTTCAGTGAGCCAGCCCTTATCTGAGCCCTATCAAGCTTTAAAGCACTGAATTGTTTTCAGTAAACATTACATAGATGCCTGCTCCCAGGCCGAAGGGGAAGTGGGTTTCTGCTCAAGGTCTGGTGTCCCCACACTACATCATGATCCACAGGTGGAGAGAGAGACAGAGAGATAGAGACAGAGACAAAGACAGATAGGGAAACTGATCCATAGGTGGAGAGAGAGAGAGACAGAGAGAGACACACACACACACACACACAGAAAGAGAGAGAGAGATCATAATGTTAATATTATAAAAGAGGAAAGGGTGAAGTTCATAGTGATGTGTTTGTGTGTCAATTTGACAGTTGTTTTAATGGTTTGAATAATTATGGTCTCCATGGGCTCATATATTTGAATGCTTAGTCATCATGGAGAAGCACTGTTTGAGAAGGATTAGGAGGTGTGGCCTGTTGGTTGGTGGAAGTGTGTCACTGAGGGTAGACTTTGAGGTCTAAAAAGCCCATGCCAGGCCCAATCTCCCCTCTCTCTCTCTCTCTCTCTCTCTCTCTCTCTCTCTCTCTCTCTCTCTCTCTCTCTCTCTCTCTGTGTGTGTGTGTGTGTGTCTGTCTCTGCCTCTCTCATCTCTACACATATATGATATATATGTATATGTATAGTTATGTATTCATCCCTTGGTTCTGTTCCTCTAGAGAAGCCTGTCTAAAACACCCATGGTCAAGTAAAAAGCCTCAAAAGAACTCACAGGTTCACTAAGCTAGACTGAACTAGAACCTTTCTTTGGTTTCCTGTCTAAGGGAAACAGACATTTGTTCATGTCTCATTCAATGCATGGGAACTGCTGTGACTGTAGTGGGCTCGAAAAATTCATGGGTGAGACAGAGAGGTGACAGACACCAAATGGACAATATATAGTCACTAATAGAAAGCAGAGGCAGAGCCGGGTGTTGGTGGCGCACGCCTTTAATCCCAGCACTCGGGAGGCAGAGGCAAGCGGATCTCTGTGAGTTCGAGGCCAGCCTGGTTTACAGAGCGAGTGCCAGGACAGCCTCCAAAACAATACAGAGAAACCCTGTCTCAAAAAAATAAAAAAAAATTAAAAAAAGCAGAGGCAGGGCTTTCACCAGAAAGGCTTCACCAGGAGGACTCTTTGACTCTGATATGCCTAAAGCTGCCAATATCCTGTGGCAACCCAAGTCTTGTTTGGTTTGCATACACTTGAAATGCTCTAGATTCCCTTAACAGAGGGACTTGAGCACAGCAGGGAATCTCAGGCCTCAACTGACTCCTGATCTTGGGCCCTTCCCCAGCCTCATGGCCACAAGACCACAAGGGGTGTAGATCCATCCAGAAAAGAGCCTACTGCTCAGCCAATATGTCTACAATAAACCTTCCTGACCCCCAGATTTTTCTCAAAGACACCTGAGGATATAGCCAGCATGTCTCTATGGGAGAAATAAGGAGATAACTAGACCTTTCAGGATTGACTGGGTATTGGCTCTAAACTGATACTACTTTAGGGAGAGTGTGACTTACTGTCTGGACAAGAGTTCATAGCAACCAGAGCAGAGCCTCAGTGGAGTTAGGGCGTGGGGGGGGTGTCCATCCCACAGTGGTATAGCCCTAGTCCTGGCAACTATTTCCTCAGCCCCAGAACTAATGGTTTTAGAAACAGACCCAGCAGCTTTCAGCAGAATCCCATGCTGGTTTCTTTCTTCCCAGGGTACAAGCCACGATGGCGAGACAAGTCATGTGGGAGCCAGTAGAATCCCCCTCCCCCTTCAAAAGGGCAAGGAAACTTTTGAAGACATCACAGAAATTGGGGCCTGCAACATGGACTTTAAAAGAGCAGGGATGGTGAATCTGATCACATCCCCCATTCAACCTGCTTATTTGGCCTTTACCAACACACGTGGACCACAGGGAAAAGCAGTGGATTATCATAAACTTAATTGGGTGATATGATAACCCTAATGCAATTTTTCCAGATGTGGTATTTTTTTTGCCAAGGAAACTAAAACCACTTCTGGCAGTTATTGATCTGGCAAATTTGCCCCCCCATATCCTATAATAAAGTCCACCTGAATCAGTCTGTTTTTAACTAGCACACTCAGCAACAACCACTGTCACATCTCCAACCTGCAACTCCTCAGTCTACGATCATAGCCTTATCATAGGATCCTTAGCAGCCTCCACATTCTGTGTGCTGTGGATTATAACACATGGCTTGCCATGCTGTGGATATAATGAAAACTGGTCCTTGATGAGCACAAACAGCTATTACTCTAGATATCTTGTTGAGAAAATGCAAACAGATCAGGGGAAATGGATCCCATAGAAATTCAGAGCCTGGCTATTTTGGTACAACTTCTAAGGACCTTGGGTCTGGCCATGTGAAGATGTTTCACCCAATGTGGAAAAGCTGTGGCATCTGGTCTCTTTGAACACCATGCAGATGGCAGGACTCCTGGTAAAGCTCTGGAAGCAGCTAAGGCCTTTGGGCATGCTCTCTCTATGAGTCTATTGATTAAAGGGCTGCTTGAGTCCGGGCTGAGAAATGCAAAGAGTTTGTAAAAAAAAAAAAAAAAAAAAAAAAGATCCAAGCTACTAGGCGAGTTGTTCTTCCGTCTAAAGTGGATTCAGCACACACGTTTGTGTTGGGAAGGTAAGGAAGCTGTACAGGCTGTTTGCAAGTCCTTAAAGGTAAGTGTCATAACACAGACCTTTAGGACTTGGGTACCAAACTATGACCTCTGAGAAAAGCTTCTGCTTAGCTACTGGGCCTAATAACACTTGAATTCCTGACTGGGCAACCCACGTAACTGTCGTGAGCTGAGTTTTGTTCCTGTGAGTTCCACTCTGCTATGTGCTCTTCTGCATGTGCTGCTTTTCCTGATGATGCATAGCAACACCAAGTTAGCATCAAACACAAAGCCTTACCTAGACACCTACATCTGTCTCTACGTGGTCCCTGGTAGGTAACTTTTCTCTGATCCTTTGACTATGCATTTCTAGATCTTTTGTTGCTATAACAAAATAGCAATGCTGGGGACTGGATAATGTGTAAAGAATACAAGTTTATTTGGTTTATGGTTCTAGAGACTGCAAGCATCTGTTCAGTGTGTAGGCAGGCCTTTGTGCTGGAATCTGGTGGAGGGCATTACCTAGTGAGACAGAGCAAGCTTACTACCTTGAATTTCTATGTAAAGCCATTAATGCCATCTCTGAGCCCCACCCCGCTGATATCACCTAAGCTTATTATCTCCCCAAGATCTCACCTTCAAATAGCATTGGCGTATGAATAGTATGAAGGACTCAATCAAATCATAGCCCGCATCTTCTCTTTCTCAACCACAACTGTGACAGCCAATCCTGAAACAAAGCCTGGATTCAGTGTCAGTCAGAACAGATCTGCTCCCCTCTTCAAACCCAGACTGGCAAAATTGCTTGTTATGTGCGTGACTATATTTAATTTCCATAACAGCTCTGCCTAATAGAGTAAATTTCCCAATTTTACAGAGGCAGAGACTGACAATGGAAGCAGTTTGCCCAGTGCCTCACACCCAGTCTGTGGGAAGCAGAATAGGAGCCTACTCATGCGCATCAGACTCCAGAGTCCAACCACAGCATGCAGAGAGGTCTCCGCCAAGCTGCACCCAGAGCATCCCTTAGGGAGAACCACCCCAGTCATTTTTCCTACTGCTTCTTGACTAACATAGCTTCTGCATCTTCCCACTGCTCAGTAACCAGTGTGAGTTAATTTTGAACTTTAAAACATGCTTAATCCATGAAATATTTCAAATATGTGTCGATATCTAGAGAATAACATAGCAGACATTCTTACACTCAACACAAAATGCCTTATTCTTCTCATTTGGTGTCATTTTATTTCATATCCTTTTGTTTTGTTGTGATAAGACCTCATGTAACCCAGGCTGGCCTCAAACTCACTATGTAGTTAAGGCTAGCCTCAAACTCCTGATCCTCCTGCCTCCACCTCTCCAAAGCTCCAATTATAGGCATGTGCCACTGTGCTCACCTTTTATTTCATATCTTAAAATATACCATGGAGACCTGGGTTCAATCTCATTTCTGCCAAGAAGAAAAATGTATGAACTTTTTTTTTGGTTTTTTAGGTTGTTTTTGTTTTTGTTGTTTAGCATTTTTTGCAAACATCCATCAGTATAAATGGACCAGTAACCTGTCCTGTTAGAATGTAAACAAAAGCAAAGAACAACTCAAATTGCTAAATATGAGTTATGTTTTAGAGAAAAGGCAATTCCAGATGCACAAAGATAACATAATAGCATTTGTATGCATTGAAACCATCAACAGACTTCTGTCAACACTCAGAGGTATTTTCTTAGTCCCTCAACCCTGACTGGATGTATCCTTGATTCTCTCTATTCCTGCCTTCATTTTCCATCTTACAAACTTTCCTGAGGTCCTATTTCACCTCCTAGCCCCAGCAGTGTACCCGCTGCCAGCGGGACTCTAAAGCCATCCAGAAGTTTCCAACAGCCTTTTGTGTGTTAAGGCGTCATCGAGGGTCTTCTCCTGAGAAGATATGCTTTGTGCTCATACACAAGTATAAATTTAGACCTGAAATTAATTTGGTAGCAAACCTCTCATTGAGTGTTTGGGATGTCCCACAGCCTGCTTGGGTGATAAACCTGAAAAAGATCACTGAGAAGGGTTTGGGTGAGCATGCATGGGTCTGGGAGTGTGTCTTAGCAGTGTAGGCTGTGTCAACTGTGGAATGCCACTTCAGTATATCTTCTGAAGAGGAAGATGCTCCCACTTCTATGGACCAACAACTCAATGTGTAGGAGAATCCTGATGAAACAGTGCACAACAGGATGCAGAGTGCATAACATGGATGAATAGTGCGCAACATGGACACAGAGTTCACAACACGGATGCAGAGTGTGCAACACAGATGCAGAGTGCGCAACATGGACACAGTTCACAACACGGATGCAGAGTGCATGACATGGATGAATAGTGCGCAACATGGACACAGAGTTCACAAGACGGATGCAGAGTGCACAACACGGATGCAGAGTGCATGACATAGACGAGAATGCTCCCATCAGTGCTGTTCTAATAGCTCTCAAAGTGGAAACAGCACAAATGGCCATTGAGAGTCAAGTGAAGCTGACTCTGACATGTTCTAATAGTGCGGCTTCACACAGCGGGGTGGTGTCCCCATGCGGGGAGACAGAAGACAGACTCAAGAACTCATGCTCAGGATTCCACTGCACAGAGACAACCCGAGAGACCAGGAGTGCATACTTAGAGGTGTGGCAGGATTTAAGCAGGGAGGAGGGGTGTAAAAGATGAGTATTGCTCTTGGTGGTAGGGGTGTGGCAGGGAGGGGTGCTGTCTGTGTGCTGTTGCTTGGCCTGCACGGTAGTTATGCAAGTGCTCAATAGAGGGTTGTTTTGCTGTAATTCATGAATTATCCTCTTGGTATGCTGTATATGACAACACAAGGCACCACACATCACAGCACCTAGAGTTCCATAGGGACAGTGCCACGGCTACTTTGCAAAATTCTTTTGGGAAGCTTCAAATTTTCCAATGACAACTGGCATTGGCTTGCTTAGCCTTTGAACTTTCAGTTTTCTGCCCAAGAAACACCGCTATTTTAGACTTCATGAGTTTTAAAGGACGGCCCCCCAAAGTGTTTGTCATTTGACAGGATTTGTCACGTGTGTTGCCAAATATTTAAAACTTGCAGTGTGAGCCTCACCACCAGTAGTGAAGTGATGCACCAGGTACCCCAGGGATAACTGGGGTACCCAACGAAAATGGATGGGCAAGAGTTTTACTGTGCACTTTGCCTATCCATTTATAGAGAAGAGGACACTGAAGTACAGAGAATCTAAGAAATTCCCCCATAGCTCCTATGTAGCAAAGCAAAAGATCAGATTTGGGATGGAGGCTTTTTGACCCTGGAGTCAATGGGAGCAGCTACCCACAGAGATCTACCTACCTCTGCCTACCGATTGATTAAAGGCATGCACCATCATACCTGGTTTCCTCATTCATTTGTCTATCTACCTACTAGCAACTGCAGGCTACTGGCTGTACCTACCTGCAGCAGGTACACACTAACCACCATGATTTCCTACATGTTTTCCCTCAACCTCATCTACTCTCTCTACAGTCCCATTCACCCATCAAGACCCAGGGCGAGCGCCAGTTCTTCTGGGAATTACTGCTTGATGTCTCTAGACAGACTCCACCCCCAATCTCTCTGTTGCTTTTTTATCACTTGTATTTTTATATGTGCCCAGCCCTCATTCCCATAGACCCTAAACTCTGAATAGAAGGGTTGTATCTAACTTTTTGCTTCCCAGAATCTGACATGAAACAGCACTAGCTACTTAGTCCTTATTTACTGACCATGGCACTCACTTAAGTTCATATCCAGAGGTGACAGTTTACAAGACACAGTCTTAGGTTCTCATGCTCAAAGTCTGGCCAGTTCTTCACAGAGCAAAGTGACTCAAGTGGAGCTGGAGGCAAGTGGGTGGAGTCCTTTTCTGACCATGTGAACAAGTGATATTGGACCCTCGCAGTGTCTAGCCATTTGACAAGCAGATCTGACTAGAAGACCACCTGGGGCAGGCTTTCCCTGCCCTCATCTGGGACAGCACAGACTGCCAAGATGAATAAGATCAAGGAGTAATGGAAAGTTCCTTCCTCAAATTTTGTTGGGAAACTTGAACCAGAAATCAGTGCTTCAGGCCCAGTCTGTCTCGTTTTTCCAGACAGGACTCCTGCCTCTCCCTCTCTGCCCTGTGAAGAACTGTCATGGGGCAGCGTGATGCCGCCTGGAACACTTTCATGTGGCCTCCCTGCTGGGGAAACAGTCTAGGGACCCTTAGAAGACACTTCTGAGAACCTGGCTTGTCTCCCAGGCCAAGCATGGGGACTATTTGTCAAGGGAAAAGTACACAAATAATTGTCGGCAAAATCCGCACATTTCATTTTCTTTTGAGCCCTTGAATAAATCATCCTGTGTGATCCTGGGGACCTGAGACTGGAAGTGGTTTTTGTCCTGGACCTGAGCCACGGCCTCTAGAAAGAGGAACTCTGTCCCGTTTGGACACCCATATAAACACACATGACACCGCCAGATGGAACCATAAGGGTCTGTCATCTAGAGTCCTTTTACAGGGACTCGACAGGTACGGCCACCTACGAGCCTTTCAGTGCTAGAAACTGTCCTGAAACCCTCTCAATAGGTAGAGCAGAGCACTGAGGTCCAGGGAGGAAAACCTGTCACCTGTTGTGTCCCAAGAACTGCCTATATGACTGCAGCACCGTACCTGTCAAAATGCTACCTTTAGTCACCTCTTGAACACACAGGCAGGTTCCCTGAGAAGCAGTTTTGTTGCTCGCTGCTGCTGCTGCTGCTGCTGCTGCTGCTACTGCTGTTGTTTGGAGACAGGGTCTCACTATGCAGCCCTGGTAGACCTGGAAGTCTCTATGTAATCCTGTCTGGCCTTGAACTCACAAAGAGTTGCCCATCTCTACCTCCTGGGTGCCAGGATTAAAGGTGTGTGCCACTACTCCAAACCTGAGAACTAGGGATTTGATTGGCACCTGAAGTTTGGGAACCTTCTGACCTTTCTAAGTCAACACAGGCTGAGCTCATGATCCATGTCTTTAGCTGCTCCTCTGGGTGGCTTTGGGTGTCTGCCTCTCCAGCTGCCCATTGAGCCATCCTGGAATTTCTCGGGTCCAGACCACCTCTTCCAAGTACTCCCTGCATCTAAAGCTACACTGGGGCCTGGCATGACTTCAGAGAGACTCTAGTACTGCCCCTTCCCCGTCTCCATCTGCATACACTCCTTCCTTGACAGACTTTGTGTATAAAGTGCTGATATCATTCACGAGAGCAATAGCCGTCTCCAGAATCCGGGGCTTTGTGTGGTCTCAGGAGGGCTCTATAGGACAGATAAGACACTTTGTACTGGGGGCTTACTCAAGGTTTATTACAAGTAACAATTTTGCTAAATGTCTCCGAAGACTTCTAGAACATATGGTTTAGATATTTACCAAATTTGTATAATTGTCCCTCGGGACCCATGGGAGATTGGTGCCAGAAACTCCACAGATACCAGAATCTAGATGTGTTCAAATTTCTCATAGAAAATACTCTGGTACTTACATGTAACATATGCACATCTCTCCTACACTTTAAGTCATCACCTAATACAGTGCGGATGCAGTAGACATGGCTGTTATGCAGTATTGTTTAGGGAATAAGAAGAAAAATATTTGCACGTTCTCTATACAAATATATGTTTCAAATATTTTCAGTCTGCAGTTTGAAGTCATGAGTGCTGAACCCACAGAT